GACATGGCACTGTGCATGAAAAGCACGGGCGAGATCAGTGTCGCTAGTGGGGGCATGACTAGCAAAAGTGGCCAGTTTGGGACAAGCGCTCGCATAGTGACCATTAGTGCGACACAATTGACAATGTGGTGGACGACGGCCCCAGCCACGACCGCCACGAAGGTTGCGACCACCATGGCCACGAGTAGGATTTGAGGAGACGGCACCGGAATCGGCAGAAAAAGCGACAACCGGAAGTGAAGAACCGTGGAGCGATTTGAGGAATAGTTCATGGACTTCGGCTTGTGCAATCAGATCCCGAAAAATGATAGGGGAGCGAGCGGTGAAAATAGCAGTGGAGAAAGTTCCAAATGTTGCCCCAAGTCCATAGAGAAACCAATGGACTTTATCATTTTCATTGATTCGATGCCCAATTGCGGAAAGCTGATCGCATATGGATTTAAACTTCCGACCAAACTCGGAAACCGGGGTAGTCCCTTTTGACAGAAGACGTTGTTGATCTTGCAAATTATGAATGTGTTTGACAGAGGAATTGCTATAGGCCGCCTCGAGGGCAACCCAGATTTGCCGAGCGGTGCGCAGACCAACGATCTCCGAGAAGGCTTCCTCCGAGAGGGAGGATTGGATGAGAATAACGGCCCTCTGGTCAGCGGAAATCCATTCAGCGTATGCCGGGTTGGGCTTTGTTTTTTGCCATCGGCGGTGATCTCAGTGGTGGGAGGAAGGGAGGAGCCATCCACATAAGTTACCAAATTCTGGTAGGTGAGCAGCGGAAGAATTTGGTTCTGCCACAGTAAGTAATTTGTGGAGAACAGGCGGATCGTGATCAAATGCATTGCGGTGTTCATCGAGAAGAGGGAATCAGTGGCCGATGAAGAAGACATGAGAACACCGTAGACGTGCCGACAGGATGAAGAGGCGAAGATGGGAGATATGGGAGGGGGAAGCGATCGGGTGGGAGAAAGAGAGGAGGGAAACTGATGAGAAGGGGAAGGATCGTAATTTAGGCGTATGATACCATGAGAGAAATGCTCTCCATCCCAAAATAGGAGGAGAGGATAACTATAAATATACAAAAAAGTTACACTTTGCAGCCCTGAAACAATAAATACATACAAGGGCTAAAACGAAAAAATGAATGATAAATAGGAGACTCTACATATGTCTAATAGGTTCATGCACGGGTGATGAAGGGGAAGAACGTGACTAAGGGGCCGTTTAACAAACACTTATCCAGTAAGCACTTACCGGTAAAATTTAACACTATCACTTACTTACCTGGTAAGATTTTAGTCAACAAAACGGCATTGTATGCAAAAATTTACCCGCTAAGCCCTAACTGTGGCAAGAGTTTTCGCCCTCACTTACCAAAAAGACTCTTGGTCCTTGCCTCACTCTTACCGGGTAAGATTCTTGGTCCTTACCATATTCATCCAATACGGTAATGTGACTTGGTAAGCGCTTACCCGGGTAAGTGTTTGGGTAAACGGCCCCTAAGATTGACAATCATGGGAAGAATTAGGCTAATGCACGGGTGGAAAAGGAGACGACAAAACACATGTAAAATATGGGTCGGATGAAGAAGGATAAGAATACATTTGATAAGCCAATGATATTTTATGTTTCAAAATAAGGTCTACCTATCACTTCTCACTTGTCATCCCTAGTTACATGGTTATCCTTATCCATAACAAGTATCCTTCTATTCACTTTAGATGATATTAAATACCAAAAGCTACATTCAAGTGTAACAAAACCAAGAAAAGGTGTGGACTACTTTATGGACAAACTTGTTTGTAATGTATTGCGGGGTGGGCAAGATGCTATTAGTAACCTAGAATTTCATAAAGCGAATCCAACTACATAAATGAACGCTGGCTTAAGGCCTAAAAGTAATGCTTTAAAGTTTCACAGATACTTTTTGTTGTATCAAGTCTTGGTAGGTACTTTATGAACTACAAAGTTTGGTATAAGGAATGGCAACAAAGTGTCAGCAGATTTTCCTTTTTAGAGAGCATACCTCTGGAGATTCTGCATTAAATGGTGGAATCCCTACAAGTAGCTCAAAAAGAATAACACCAACAGACCACCAATCAGCTGTTGCACCTACAAGGGAAGGTTTCCAAGATAAGTATGCAGCAGATACACATAAAATAGAGGCTAAAATTGTAAATTTTGCATATATGCCAATGTGAAGTTCCAACCATGTCCCACGCCAAGAAGTATTTCAGGAGCCAAATAGTCAGGAGTTCCAACGACCGCCTGTTTTTGACGTTGTTCTCCATTCAACGATGATCTTCGTTCTGTTGTAACTTCATCATCCCTGTAAATAGAGGTCCTGATGTCCGATGTACCTGATAAGTCCTCTGTGCTGTTGATGAGACCCACCTTGGATAGCCCAAAATCTGACAACTATAAGAATGATATAAAATTGTGAGACGAGTAAGGGTTTCAAGTGAGACATAACAACAGCACAAACTTCACAGTTGAACTAAAAGTTCAAAAATAGTTTTGGTACAACGTGGCATCATAGATAATAGAGGATGTCATCCATATAAAGTTATAAACCATACAAACCAATTTCAATCGTCCAACTACTCTCATTAATATTTGGTTAATAAATATCTCGATTGTTTCCTAATATAAAGTGTTGATCATAATTAATGAATAATCATCTTCCATAAATAATCGGATCATAATAAATGAACCTTCATTATTTCCATAAATATCTCAATTGATTGGTTTGTATGAATGACATGGTTTATATCTGAAACCTCCTCAAGATAACTAATGCATCCTTATCATCAAATTTAGCTACAAATTATCATAACTCTTACAAACATTAGAAAACATATTGTTTTGCTCTGTCAGGAGGTAACATTTACGAGAAATTGATGATGCTAAGCATACATTCAAAAAGACATTCACTTTCTCCTTGATTTTAGAAGTTGAAATTAAAAAGAGAAAGTTCAATAATTAATTATTCAAAAAGAAAAAAAAGGAACTGTTTGACAAATAAGTAATAACATTACGTGATTAACTTCATAAAGGAGCATAGAATCTTGACCTTGATGTGGCCATCTGGACCAATTAGCAAGTTGTCTGGCTTCAGGTCTCTATGGATAATATTCAAAGAATGTAAATACTCCAATGCAAGAACCTGAAAATAATCAATTAGAATACATAGCATTAGTTAGATGTGTGCTAGCATGAACTGAGAAGAAAAGCAAAAAACTTACAAGTTCTGCAATATAGACACGAGCCATGTCCTCTTCTAAGCAACCTAGAGTTCTCAGCAAAGAGAAAAGATCTCCTCCATTTAGAAACTCCATTACCAGGTATAGATTTTCTTTGCATGTGAATGAGTAGAAAAATCTAACCTGCTCATGTCAGAAGTCAAACAACTTAATGAAGTTACAGTACAGGTAAGTCTAGCTTGAACGAAAATTTATGCACTTCTCACCACAAAAGGATTACGAACTGATATCAGGATATCACGCTCGGCCAAAATGCTTTCAACTGCATTTTTACGAATCATATCAGCCTTCTTCAAAACCTGCAATACTTTTTCCGGAATAAGTTCTTTTAGCTGTTAGTAGCGAAACAGGTGATCTGTGTGAAAGTTATGAGATGAGTGAGATATGTCTAGGAAAAAAACAGGGACTAAAAAGTCACACACGCATGTTTCACCAACAAGATCCATCATGCAGTGTCAAGAACGTATTAACTAAAGCAGTTATTTGGTCGCTTGGTATTCAGGAAAGGTATCAAAGTCAGCCAAGGGTATTCTTGTTAAATATTCTCATGGGAGAAGAGGTAAAGAAGACAACAGAACCATATATACAAATTGTAAACACGGCAAGACATGATAAACACTTTTAACTGAACCAGATTACTCGAAACGTAGTGAACAAGACACCACAATTCAGTCGCAACAAGATGTTTAAAGAATAAAATATAGATGCACATCATAAGTGTAACATACTTATGAAGGGTGAGAAAGAAAATAAAACAAAGTCTATAATGAAAATATACGTACATACATACATATATATATATATATATCCATCCAGCGGCAGGAGTTTTTGTAGATGCAGGAGTAAGGTAGCAGATTTTGTGTTAGGACTTGTGGTTACTGTGGTCAAGCGAGGGGTTGTAATGGTAAAGGGTGGGATGGGGGAGGGTTAAGAGCCAACAGTGAGGTTTCAGAGTCCTAGGATAGGCATGAGAACTCTTAGGGGTAATCAGGAGTAGCTTTAGTGCAAGTTTAGCCAGGAAAGGGTCTTTCGACTAACTTGTTAGGTTGTTTGGTTGTTTCGTACTTCCCCTTATGCACAAGATGGCTAAAGCTTGGGAGCGAAGAGGTCAATGGTTAGGAAGCTTGAGGTATATTAAAGATGAGAATGTGGGTTTTAGTTAAGAGACAAGGAAATAAAGGAGATATGGGGTAGTTATTTTTGCTAGCTTTTTAACGAGGCAAGGGAGGGAGGGAGGAGGTATGGTGAGAATAGGAGGTCTACATTCGACAAACAAGCACAATCATCGTTTTTGTCAATGAATTAGAAAGGGGGAAGTGAAGAAGGCACCATGAAAAATGGGGAAGGACAAGGTCGGAGGCCCATATCAAATCCCTATTGAAGTGTGGATGTGCTTGGGGGAGAAGGGTGCACAATGGTTGGTGGAGCTCTTTAACCTTGTCCTTAAGACTGCCAAGATGTCGGAAAAGTGAAAACTTAGTGTGGTGGTGCTGTTATATAAGAACAAAGGGGGGTGCACATAATTGCGAAAACTACCATGGTATGAACTACTAAACCACACCATGAAACTATGGGAGAGAGTGAATGAGGCCAAGGTGCAGCACAAAACCAGTGTGACAAAGAAACAATTCGTCTTCATGCCACGGCGAGGATTGAGGCAATCCACCTCGATAGACGCCTCATGGAGAAGCAAGACTGGTCCTAAGGTTTTCCGTGCCCTTGGCAAAAACACTCAAAAGTGGCCTAATTTAAAAAAAGCATTAAATATTAGGATTTATAACAATCTTAAGCATGATGTTACCGAGCAACAAATCCACACACAATGTGCACTCAAGATAACATAAAAACCTTTGTTCAATGGTTTTTAATTCTTATAACTGCATATAAATGCAAAGCAACAGCCATATTGTCAACAAGTCATTTATAAATAGAAAAATAAAATACATTTAGCACATAGTAGAACCTCGTACTTCATGTTGAAACAACGACAATCTATATTGATTACTTGTAAAGTAGCTTGGTGTGCTCAAGTAGTTCCTCTTTGAAGCTAATTCTCAAAAACAGGGTCTATAAAGTCATTTTGTAGCATATGAATATCATACACAAAGCAAAAATGACAGCCCAAAGATTCCCAGAACCATCGGATCATCACTTATTCGACTAAGGGGCCGTTTACCAAACGTTATCCGGGTAAGCGTTATCAAGTCACGTTACCTCACCGGATGAATATGGTAAAGACCAAGAATCTTACCCGGTAAGAGCGAGACAAAGACCAAGAGTCTTACCCGGTAAGTGAGGGTGACGACTCTTACCACAGTAAGCGCTTACCGGGTAAATTGTTGCATACGATGTCGTTTTGGTGGACTAAGATCTTACTCAATAAGTAAATAATAGTGTTAGATTTTACCGGTAAGCACTTACCGGGTACATGTTTGGTAAACGGCCCCTAAGTCTTCAATTATTATCACAAGGTTTTTCAAATCAAAAACATGTTCAAAGTATTAATTGTTAGATGTGATTAATTTTGTTTAAGTTTTATGTTTTTACATAAATATCCATTGACACAAAAAGAAGACAAAAAACGAGTTTTAAGAACAAAGAAAAAAATAGAAGTTAAGAGGGGAATAAGGAAGAAAAGTAATAAAAGTAAATGGGGGCAGAAAATAAACAAAACGAACAACAGTTGAGTGGTAAAGTTGGGTGAGGCCTTGAGTTCTAATCTTCTTGATGTAGCTTTTCCTTTTTTCCTAGTAATAGCAGGTAGCAAATGGCTATGCCCAACCATCAGCAGTCTAGTTCATGGACTAATTTGTGAGTTGAGGCCCCATGAGCTAGTGGAGAAGTGCAGAGTATGTAGTTCATAGACCTGGAAGGCCAGCGATAGGGATGTGATTTGGAGTAGCCTGGAGAGAGGAGTACCATGTAGGGATGTCAGGGTAGCTCAGTATATGTACAAGTGAACATTGACATGTGTTAGGACAACATGTACGATGTAGTATTTTCCGGTGAAGATAGGACTAGTATTAGACACACTTAGCTTTTACATACTTATATGTTTATGTATAGTCATATATCTCTTTAAATTCTTTGAGGTTGTAAAGTGTAAATTCAATTTCTATAAATGATAAGTCTCTCCACCTAATTGGTGTGATGAGTACCATTATCATGGTATCAAGAGCAAATTAATCCCACCCTTTCTCTCTTCCCCTCCCACTGTCGTTCTCTCTTTCTTTCCCATCTTTTTCTTTTCCTGCACCTCTTCCCTTTCCATGGCTTCTCCTTCTCAAGATGCTACCCTACCCATGAATACAATTCTTCATCTGATCACTAACAGATTATCATCTTCCAATTATCTCTTATGGAAGAATCAAATGATTCCTCTCCTCACTTATCAAAATCTGTTAGGGCATGTTGATGGGACCCTTCATGCACCTGATCCGGTGATTCTCACCGCTGACAAGTCTACGCCAAATCCAGCCTTTACTGCGTGGATCTCTGCTGATCAGCGGGCAATTATTCTCCTTCAAGCATCGTTGACCGAAGAAGCGTTTTCTGAAATCATTGGCTTATCAACGGCTCGACAGATTTGGGTTGCGCTTGAGGAGGCTTATAGTCACTCCTCTGTCGAACGAATTCAGAATCTTCGGGATCAACTGCGCCAATTCTCAAAGGGTACGTCCACTGTTGCTGAGTTTGGACGAAAATTTAAAAATATTTGTGATCAACTTTCTGCTGTTGGTCATCCCATAGCTGCATCAGACAAAATTCACTGGTTCTTGTGTGGCCTTGGTCCGACTTTCGAGACTTTTTCCACCGCCATTCGGGCCTCTCGGTCGCTCACCACTCTCCGAGATCTTCTTACCCAAGCCGAGGCACATGAGTTATTTTTGCAATCTTTGCATGGTACTTCTTCCCCACCAGTGGTTTTTTTCTGCTACTTCAGATTCACCCGTGTCTCGTCGTGGTCGTGGTGGTCGCTCGTTTAGAGGTGGTCGCGGTCGTGGGCGTCGTCCTCCTCATTGTCAATTATGTCGAACAAATGGCCACTATGCTAGTGCGTGCCCACATCTCTACTCGTATGCCACTCATAAACCCGGTTCCGATACTGATTTAGCCAAAGCTTTTCATGCTCAATGTCATGTAACGTCCAATGCCCMGGATTGGTTTGTTGATTCCGGTGCTACCGACCATATGGCTTCTTCCACGGCCTCCGTATCTCAACCTATGCCTTATGCTGGGAACTCTAAGGTTGCTTTTGGGGATGGTAATGTTCTCCCCATATCTCATATTGGTCAATCTATGATTCACAATAATATTAAATTGCGAGACGTACGTTCTGGTTGTTCCAACGATCACCAAAAATTTATTGTCCATTAGTAAATTGACTACTGATAATAGTTTGGATGTTTTGTTTTCCCAACCTCATTTCTATATCCAGGATCGAGCCACGAAACAGGTTCTAGCAAAGGGCCGATGTGAGCAAGGATTGTATGTTCTCTCACATAAGCCGGAGGCATTTACGGCCGTGGCATGTTCGAAGTTAAAAGCATCATATGAGCTTTGGCATTCAAGCTTGGGTCACGTTTCTTTTGATACTATCTCTCCTGAACAAATTAGGTCACCTTTCGGTGACGTCTTTATTACCGTCACCTGTTGTTTGTTCACCTTGTCAACTTGCTAAGGCGCATCGATTGCCTTTTGAATCTAATGAAAAACGTGCTTTACATGTGTTGGACTTGATTCATTGTGATTTATGGGGGCCATCCCCGATTACTTCGGTTGATGGTTATCGTTATTATGCTGTTTTGTAGATGATTTTTCTCGTTTTATGTGGTTTTATCCACTCAAAACCAAGTCCGGTTTTCATGTGGTTTTTGGGGCTTTCCTTAAGTTTGTTCAAACACAATTTTCATCTAAAATTAAAATCTTCCAAAGTGATGGGGGCACAGAGTTTTTGAATCACCATGTACGGCGCTTGCTTGATGACAATGCTACTTTTCATCGTATTTCATGTCCGTACACTCCGCAACAAAATGGTAGGGTGGAGCGAAAGCACCGTCATATTGTAGAAACCGATCTAGCCATGTTATTCAATAGGCATGTTCCATCTTCTTATTGGGTCCATGCTTTTCGCTCAGCTGTTCATATCATCAACCGGCTTCCCACTCGGGTATTAAATAATAAATCGTCGTTCGAGATATTGTTTCTTCGGGCTCCTTCTTATGATCATTTTCGCCCATTTGGATGCCAAGTCTACCCTTACTTAAGGGACTATGCGGAGCACAAATTGTCGCCACGAAGCCTTCCTTGCATATTTCTTGRTTATTRTGCCCMATACAAAGGATATGAATGTCTTGAGCCYGGCTCCTYTCGAGTTTTCATTACCCGGCATGCCAAGTTTGATGAGCTCTTCTTTCCGTTTAGCGGCACTTCAACTCGGGCTTCTATTCATGACCTTCGTCTAGTTGCTTTTTTAGACGATGCACCGTTTTCTAGTTTGCCATCGGCTCCTGCTCCAAGCCCGCCTCCGACTGCTCCATCCGTTGGCTATGGGCTCTGCGATGATCCAGTTCCTGTCGCCGAGGCCCAGTCGCTGGAACAGGCCCAGTCGCCGGAACAGGCCCAGTCGCCGGATCAGGCCCACTCGCCGGGTCAAGCTCAGTCGCCCATAGATGCTCAATCATCTGTCTCACCAGATAGTCCGCCTCCTGCTGTTTTGTTTGATGACACCGAACCAGATTCGCCGGCTGCCACTCCTTCACCTGTACCTCCTGTTGGTCATTCCATGATTACACGGGCCAAGGCCGGCATCTTTAAACCGAAGCATCGAGTGGATCTTGCTTACACTACTAAACATGGTGTATATAGTGCCTTATTTGCTCAGCATGACCCGACCACTTTTTCTTCTGCCGCTTCGCAATCTCACTGGGTGAATGCCATGAACGCTGAAATGCATGCCCTACGAAACAATCATACTTGGTCGTTGGTTCCTAGACCCATGGATCGCAATGTGGTCGGTTGTAAGTGGGTGTTTCGAACTAAGTATCATTCCGATGGTACTATCGATCGTCATAAAGCTTGTCTAGTTGCCCAAGGTTTTAGTCAACTTCCGGGTGTTGATTACTCACTTACTTTTAATCATGTGGTGAAGGCATCCACGGTTCGTGTTGTTTTGTCTTTGGCTATCACAAATGGTTGGTCTCTTCACCAGCTCGACGTCAATAACGCCTTTCTTCATGGCACCCTGAATGATCCCGTTTACATGGAGCAACTGCCGGGATTTTCTGATCCTCGTTTTCCCGGTCATGTGTGTCACCTACATAAAGCTCTTTATGGTCTTAAACAGGCCCCACGGGCTTGGTTTCATCGTCTAAGCACCTTTTTGGTTGGTACCGGGTTTGTTTGCAGTCGGGCAGATCCGTCTCTATTTGTGTTCAAACGTGACTCGTGTGTGCTATATTTATTGGTCTATGTTGACGATTTAATTTTGACTGGCAACGATGACACGGTTATTCGCTCCATCATCACTCGCTTGCACAACGAATTCGCGATCAAAGACCTCGGCCGTCTAAATTATTTTCTTGGGATTGAAGCTATTTACACCACCCATGGTCTATTTCTCAATCAGACCAAGTACGCCCATGACATTCTTGCTCGGGCCGGTCTTCTCGATGCTAAACCAGCTACTACTCCTATTGCCTCTAACACGACCTTTGTTACCAGTGGTGATGCTTACTCAGATCCCTCGCATTATCGGTCACTTGTTGGTGCTCTTCAGTATTTGACGATAACTCGTCCGGATATTTCGTATGCGGTCAACCAGGTTAGCCAATTCCTTCAGGCCCCTACTATTCCGCATTATCAAGCAGTTAAGCGGCTTCTACGATATGTCAAGGGTACGATTTCTTACGGACTCTCCTTTTCCAAACCGACATATACCACTCTTGTAGGCTACTCTGATGCTGATTGGGCTCGTTGCCTCGAGACCCGTAGTTCCACTTATGGTTACTCGATATTCCTCGGGGGCAATCTTGTATCCTGGAGTGCCAAGAAACAACCAACTGTCTCTCGCTCCAGCTGTGAATCTGAATATCGAGCAATGGCCAACACCGCAGCGGAAATCATTTGGATCACTCATTTGTTGCGAGAACTTCATGCGTTGCCACCGGATCGTCCAACATTGTTATGCGATAATCGAAGTGCTCTGTTTCTCACCCAAAATCCCGTTTCTCACAAACGTGCTAAGCACATTGATCTTGACTATCATTTTATTCGTGAACTTGTGTCGTCCGGTAAACTTCACACCAAGTTCGTTCCGACCAAGCTTCAAGTCGCCGACATTTTCACAAAGAGTTTACCTCGTCATCAGTTTGAGTTCTTTCGAGAAAAGCTCTGTATTGGTCCGCCACCGTTTCGCTTGAGGGAGGATATTAGACACACTTAGCTTTTGCATACTTATATGTTTATGTATAGTCATATATCTCTTTAAATTCTTTGAGGTTGTAAAGTGTAAATTCAATTTCTATAAATGATAAGTCTCTCCACCTAATTGGTGTGATGAGTACCATTATCAACTAGACCAGGGACCGACACTAAGCCCATTTCTCTTTGCCATGATTTTGGATGAGATTTCACGAGGGATCCAAGGGTGTGTCATGTGGTGTACGTTATTTATTGAAGACATTATATTGGTAGAAAATCTAAAGATTTGCGCACTATCGGTGCAAGACCAGATATCTTTGGTGCAATTTCAATAGGTAATGTATTGAGAGGGTAGAAGTCAGCATAGGTACAAAGGGTACCTCAAAAGGTCAGTTTTAAGTATCTAGGATCTACTATTCACAAGGAGGGTGAGGGTGAGGTCGAGGATCATGTTATTCACTGCATAAAGACTACATGCTTAAAATGATGGTTGCCACAAGAGTGCTGTGTGACAAGAAGGTCTTGCTAAGTTGAAGAAAAAATTCTACAGGATAGCCATCAGACCAGTTATGTCGTACGACACAGATTGTTGGACAATAAAGAACGCGCATGAGAGGAAGATGGAGGTTACTAAATGATGATGCTTGGCTGGACCTGTGGCAACCATGCTAGGCAAGGTACCGAACAAGGATTTCTGAGCAGAATTGGGAGTATCCCCTAATAACGGATAAAATGAGATAGGAACGACTGTAGTGGATTGGGCAGATTCGTAGGAGACTGATGTTGACACCGGTAAGGAGGCTTGAAAGCATTAGGGTTTAAGGTGTGAGGAGGAGGGAGAGGTTTTTGAGGATGTTGGGACAAGCAACTGAGACCGGACATGACAGATTTAGACATTTCAAAAGACATAACCTCTACATGTTCATGGAGAAGCCAGATTAGAATAGCAAATTGTGTATAAGGACGTGATTTTTGGGGGTAGTGGAGGGAGTCGAGAAGTAGACGGTGAGTGGGTGGTACTAAAGCACCAGGATGGACAACAATCTTTAGTTAGTTTAGTGGTTTCATACCTTCTTGTATGCATTTAATGTCCTTGTGCCCCTTATTATTTGTCCCTATTTTCTCTTTTAACTGTTCTAAACTTCATCTCTTTCTTTTTATATCTTATCTCTTTCTAATCTGTCAAACTATTGTCAAACTTTCGGATTTTTTTGCAAAATGCATTTCTCAAAACCTTTTTACAAGTCGGGGGTCTCCACTGAAATGGCCCCTCTATTCCTTGGAGTAAAGGTGAAGTATGTGTACACTATTACTCCAGACCCTACTCCGTGTGGGATTCACCAGTTCATTTGGTTTGGATGGTACTTCCCCTTATTTTATAACACCCTTGCTAATTTTTTTAATCTTTTTTCTTTCATGTTTTGTGTGTGCACTTGCTCTACTTTTCCTAGTCTTTCTTCATCTCCCAAGTTTTCTCAAGCTCATACCTTCGGGAACGTAAAGACTCCGAAAATTTCTTCCCAAAACCTTTTTTGCATAACTTTTTCACAAAAACATCCTCTTTACTCCATGGGATGGAGGAAAGATATATGTGCATTTTACCATCCTTTAACACCACTTTGTGTAGGATTTATTGGGTTTGGTTTGGTTTGGTTTATCCATCCACCAACACAAACACTGTTCACCATATCATTTGTCTTGTTTTAAGTATTCTCGAGTCATAAGGTGTGACACATATGACAGCAACAAGAAGCTGATTTGCATATCGATAGTATTACTTTAAAACGATGTCTTTGACGATCATGAAAACTCATTACTTGTCTTTGGTGAGGCAGGACAAGGACTCACCTCCCGTTAGATACTCAGATAAACTCGAAAAATACAAAATAATCTTCCCTTATAAATTTAATTTTGATGAAATCTTACATAACTCAAGATATAGGAGACCAAACTGTTTGGATGGTAGTTTCAGGTACTTTCAGTACTTCAATCAGTAATTATTAAGTGGAATTATCTTAAAAAGTCCAAGTTATCCCTGTGAGGATGAAGCCCTTCAGAATTTAAGGGAAATCATGGAGGTACAGCATATTCCCGGCACAGGTAATAGAATGATGATTCATTTTAACAAAAAGAGCCTGATAAACTAGTGCCAAACAAGTGCATTCCAGTGAGAGATTAAATTCGTCATATTTAATTACTTCAGGGTGTATGAAGCCCTTACCTTTATGGCAAATACATCACCTGTTGCCCTTTTCCTGGCCAGAAAAACTCGTCCAAACGCACCTCTACTGATTGGCTTTATTATTTCAAAATCCTCAATAGATGTCCTATCTTTAGAGTATGAATTGACAGGACTGGCACGCAGACTACGAACTGTATCATCCTCTACCGAACTATCTTCATTGGCCATGTTACTTTTTGATTCTATCTTATCATCTTCTATCTGTCCACAAAGAAGTACGTATTTCTCCCTGTATTTTGTGAAGGAAAAAATTTCAGTAACCTTGAAATATGAGCACATATCAACAATTGATTAAAACAACGGAGCTCATCCCAATCATCTACTGCAGAATAGTAGTCTTCTGTTCCAAAGTTGGTGATTCATTTTGACTTTGGTGTTCAATACCTAAATTTCAAAATCACGAGTTTATTTCCCTTCTGTAATTATGCTATTATAAACTATCTAAAAGATTTAGTAACAAGTTCCAAAGTTAAGTGAATTCCTACTGGTTTTAAATTAAAGAATTTGGAAACTTGAACTCTACAAATCAGAGTGCATCTCTAAATTTGGAACAGACAAGTCATTTGCATCAGTTTTATAAGTTTTACGATTAAATTACTCACTGTAATAGTCTCTCTATACGTCTACCAAATGTTTCGACAACAAGAGCATCCGCCTTTCTGTCCTGGATAGCATATTTGAGATCTGTTAAACGATCAAGCATGATCTCCAGTGCACTGTACTCATTAGTGTTAATACTTGCCAAAGATCGAGCAATTTCCAGTAGCTTATGTATCTGCCATTTGATGGATGTTTTCAGCATCTTAAAACCATTTATTACAATAATGTCAAAACAACATTAATATAGAAAGCGGTGCATGAAGAAACAGGGAGCAAGCAAAGATACATACATACACACACTCACACGCGTATGTCTATGTGTGTGAATATGTATATGTATGTATGTGTGTATACATGTGTGTAACTGCAACTGTGGACGGCATATAGGTCTAAATAATGAAATCAGTGCATTTCAGTCACTTCAAACACCAGTTAATGACTATGGAGCTACTTACTACACAAACATGATTCATTGACGTCTTTTAATAACCTGGAAGTAATGGCATACAAAATTATTGAAATATATTTTCTGAATGCAAGGCACAACAAAATATGTTCTATTCACAATATACAATAGATACTTGGCAGAGTGAGGGAATATAAATCCGAGTACACAAAAGATTGTGTCCCAGTGAAGTCCAAGTGCTGATACATCAATCCAATGTTATAGAAAATGCATTCAAATTACCTACCCTCTCTTGTAAAACTGATGCAGAATAACTCATAGGTGTGCTCAAGACTTGTGTATGCTCGTAATATTATAGAACAAACAACTTACCCAGTGTTTACTGATGTTCGTTTATTCTGATTAATTATTGTCACATAAAAGAAAGAAAAAAACAACTGAAAAATTGATACGTGGAACCGAATATGCAGACTAAAAATAGGAAATGTTGTCACCAGGAAACTATATGAAGTATTTTCCCAGAATATAGAAAAGCAAGGAGCAATTGACGTTTGACAGAAAGCAACTGCATGCTAGGCAGAAGTTGAAGGTATTCTCAAACGACTCGTGAGAAAATACCTATGCGGACAGATCTGGAAAAAGTGACATCACTGAAGTAATTTGAAACATGAAAGTTAATGAATACAGGTAACAGTGAACACCGAAAGGGGATCTGCTTCTTCGAACCCATTGGCATGGAGATCTCTAAATCTCCCTGGAGCTATGAATATTAAATTGATGGAGATTGATCACTACCTGCTGCCAGTTTTCATGCTCAGATGTGGTCTTCCTTTCACTCAGAAATACTTCGATCTGGTTTGTTCTTGGTGTTAGTAAAGGTGATCTAGGAGTCAAGCTTCCACCTGATGAGGCTTTGTGACATGTAACAGGTGTCAAGTTTCCACGTGTTTCACTAGACATGTCAGGCGAACTGTGCAGGTTGTCCATCACATATGCCGTACCAGCTTCATGGACACATTCTAGTATCTCTTCAGGGCATTCTTCAGAGCATTGACGAGACAAACGGTGGTTTTTAGGTGATGATTCGTCAGAATCTTCTGGTGTACTGGATGAAGATATTCTCCCAACCTCTGGATTTCCAGCAGCAAATGCACTCTTAGGTGTCCATGAATCAATGATCCTTTCGAGAGTTTCTACAACTCTATAGAGTCTTTCATTGACGGTCAAACCTTTCAAATCACATCTATCAGCAATTGTACATATCCTAGAGTGCTCTTCAACATGTACAGTGGGTATTTCAACTTCACATATACGACAGATCAATGAACTCTCATAAGCTACATGATGTTGACCTCCTGAATCCCCAGATGTAACTCTTCTTAAATTTGATGGTGACTCTAAGTCCTCAGGAGGGCAGACTGGTGTTTCTATATTATAGACATGGTCATCTTTAGGTTCTAATTGGTCAGAGACATCATTTCTTGGGCTGTCAACTTCATCATGGCCTTTGAGGCTGATGTCTGCTGAAGATGGATATTTCTTCCACGATGACATCCTGTAGCTACTAGTTGACGAAGCAACACTTTTTGCTGTACTAACCTCCACATCATCGATTCCTCCATCTAAAATTATTTTTGCTTTATCTTGTTCCTGGTTCGCCCCATGGGCCTGGTCAATTTGTGTTTCAGTTACTTCAGTTTCTCCCAATGAGCTACTGAAGTTTTGGTATGTAGATTCTATGACTTTTTGATAGACACCAAGATCACTGAGCTGGTGAAGACCCAAGATGTGGTGACTGTCTTCATAACCACACTCCTTGTGGAACTGCACAAGCCGGGTGCATCGAGTAAGTATAAATAAGAGTCGGGTATGGACTTGTTTGAGGATACCCGTAGGTAAATCCTGGCGGCGATCATCTAGGATCTGAACAATGTTTTCACATTTCAACCAAAATTCACTGGATGTCATTTTTGCACACTTCCTTGCTATAATTAACAAGTCCTCCAAATTTTCTTGCCATTCTGGGTGAGATACTGATGTTTCTTCAAGTATGCCCACCAAATCCCCAGCAAAGATACACAGATCAGCATTGACTTCGTCTTTTAATTTATCGAACTTTCCCCTGAGCCTTACCATGATTTCCTGAACTTGATACATATTGCAATGGCATGGAGCAAACAGGTTAAGGGTGAACTAGATATATGAACTTTAGAACATGAACTATGCGAACAAGGAGATACCTCCACACGCCCAAACCCACGAGATTTCCAGAAAGGCAGAGGTCGTACTCCTTTAGCATTGAGTTCATGAGAGAAACTCTTGATATCCGTGGCTCTCTTTTTACGACCACTTGTAGCACGCATTATGGCCTGGAATCTTGGAGATTGCAATTCCTTAGAAATAGCCGCATTACCCTGCAATCAGTCACAATGAAACGAATCTAAGCCACCTATTGCTTCAATAAAGGAGAAAGGTGTGAAATACAAAATTAATGCAAATCAAGCCTATCAGCTTGAGCTATAACTGAATCCAGTAACAAAGATATTACCTCCAGTCCACCAATGGGTGGTGGAAGGACTCGTAAGGATTTAGATTGACTCCATGATACCTTCTTGCCTAAAAAATACGAAGATAATTGAAAATGTCAAATAGTATATCAAACCTCAACACTCCCTTAAAAGAAAAATGTCCTGCTCGCAAGAAGAGGGACATGTAAGAGATTGAAACAAACCAAGTTACCAATTTATATAAAGCTTGAACCACTAGATGGAGGATTCAATAATTATATCTAGTTTCAACTGTAACTTCGGATTTAGATATAAACTTGGATTATTTGTTTGCTAACACTCAAATGTACTATATGGAAGTTGTTTCTACCACACTACTCTTCGTGCAGAAAAGTGATTCTGCTTTATGTTGGAGTTGGACTATTACTATCAGTACTAACGAACATAATAAGCTCTGTCATGGATACACGAATTTAGAGCATGCAATTAGTCTGTTATGTAAGTTAAATACGAGACTTTATCCAAATGCCCAATTCAAAATAGACAATCTCGTATATGAAGTGGGGAGCAATGGATTAGGTAACCTGGATCAGTACACCTAGAATGTTGTCTTGTATGCACTTCTCCACGAGGAGGAGTTGCAATCTTATCTTTACTATTAGCACCCAATTTTGAGGGGGTAATAGTCGTAGAAACGACCCTAAGAGGTGAAGGAACAGAACAAGTGCGAATATGGTTGAGGCCAAGGGCGGAAGCATGGAGTATGTAATCTTCCTCCAACTGACGGTCATAACTCGCATCGTCTTTGCTATCCCCGTCGTCGTCGTCGTCACCGTCGTCACTGCAGTCACCGTCGTCGTTATTTTCCGCCATTTCAGCCATACTTTGGCTCTGACGAATCGGGATCGGAGGTATTTTCCTCAATCTAACGATGGAATGGGAGGTTTGGCAATTTTGGTGAAGGTTTCTGTAGACATGATCGATGGATTCGTATTCGGATTCTGAGGAAGGAGGTGGAATTGACATTAGATAGAAATGATGTTATTGTTCATGGCAGTGTGATCTCTAGTATTTTATACAGAGAAAAAGAAGGGATCAAAGATGATGATTTCTAGGTTTTTGTAAGTAAGCATTTGGATCAAAATTTTGTTCAATTTGGGGAAATTTTGACAAGACAGAGGGCAGGGAAGAACGTTGAGAGATATTCGCGGGAAACGAAATACGACCAAACAGAATCGCCTCATTCCAATCCTACGTGGATTTTGGCTCCCCAACATCAAACAATAATTACAAGTATTTTGGCTCAATAATATTTATACGTAAGATGACCTCATCAAATTAACCTTACAAACGTAAACAATTACAATATTATCTTTAAAATTAAAAATTAGTAATTTTCAAGAGATTTGGGAACCGAATGACGCATGATTTGATTGGTTTGACCAACGAGAACCTCACCTAGCCCAAAAAAGTTTTTTTTTTTTTTTGAAAAATTTATTTAAAAAAAATAAACAGAATATTTTTTAATTTTATTTTTTTCTTTAAAAATTTAATTTTTTTAGAAATTTAATTTTTTTAAATTATTTTCTTAGAACTTTAATTTTAGTAGAAATTTGTTTTTTTTCTAAAATAATATTTTTTCTTTAGAACTTTAATTATTTTTTTAAAAAAAATTTAATTAATTTTTTCCTAAAAAAATTAAATTTTTTAAAGAAAAAAATAAATTTCTAAAAAATAATTAAAGTTCTAAATAAAAAAATTAAAAAATTAATTTTTTAAAGAAAAATAATAATATTTTTGAAAAATACTTTTTTGTGCCAAGTGGGGTCCATGTTGGTCAACCCGGACAGACCAATTAAATCATATGTCAAGTCAGTCCTCGAACTTCCTGAAAATTGCATTCAGATCTCTCTACGTATTTTGTGGTGCATAGTGCGTAACAAATGGCTAATTTATACCAATTTTTAATTTCGGGGATAATATTCTAATTGTTTATATTTGTAAGGTTAATTTGATAAGGTCCCCTACAATTTTAGAGTAAATTACATTTTTGGTTCATATGGTTTCTCAAAAGTAACAGTTTTTATCTCTACAGTTTCAAAATTACAGTTTGATAATCATAGTTTACAAAAATTACCATATTTGGTCTCTACCTTTAATGGTCATTAAAAAACTCGTTAAGTCAGGAATATTTTAATCTTTTCAGACTTTTCTATCATTTTTATTTAATGAATAAATATGTAAATTATATATTACTGAGACTAAAAATGTGATTTGCTCTAATACATATATCTACGTAACACAGGCAACCTTAGTGTAAAACCCAAAAAAAATGTAATTTGAGGAATAGATAATTAGTTTTATTTTTCATTATTATTCTTTCCTTTTATATATATATATATATATATATATATATATAGAGAGAGAGAGAGAGAGAGAGAGAAAGAGAGGGGTTGGTTATTATATAACCCTTGACATTTGTACAACCAATACAACCCAATCTCAACCGTCCATTTCATTTGATTAATATGTGATTTCATAGATGTTTTTATTATTTCCTAATATAAGGTATCGATCATAATTAATGAACCATATTCATCTTTCATAAATATTCAAATCATAATAAATGAACTCTTATCATTTCCATAAATATCTCAATATATTGGGTTGCATTGGTTGTACAAATGCGATGGGTTGTATTTGAAACAAACTATATATATATATATATATATATATATAAATAATACAAATAAAGAAATTGAAAGGTTTTTGAAGGTCCAAACCAGAAGGATATGTTCTGTAAATATGTCATTTTTTGATTTTTGAAAGTGATGGAACGATGCCGACTTTTGAGGTTTCTTATTGGCTCGTTCAGTCAACCAATAAGCCAAAAAAATTCAGGAATATATAGCCAATGTTCCTCTCTACAGTTTTCATTCAAACATTATGAATTTTCGCTGAGAATCGGGAGAGAAATCGGAGCTCGAAAGTCTCCATCCGAAATCTCCGTTTATCGACGATTAGAGGTAAAATACTCAACTAAAATTCATGTTTTTTATATGGTTAGCTTCGATTTTTAGTCCTCTATAGAACCCTAGTAGCCTTACGTTCCAGTTCGTGTTTTATGGATCGATTTTGGAGTTTAAAGTTTCATTCGGTTTAGTTTAAAACTAAAACTTTAAATAAGAAAATGAAACTCATTTCTTGACGAAAAATTTTGTTCTTTATGTCAAAATGTTGGTAAAAATATTACCAAGGTTTTAGTACAAAAAGAATAAAGAAAAAAGATCAAAAAAAGAAGTCAAAATGGAGCTTAAAATAGTGAAAAATGCGCAGCCATGGGGCTGCTATGTTTCTGGGTTGCGACCGGGTCGGGCCAAATCCGACCCATAAACCTGTGAAACCAACCCATTAAAAATATATATGAATAACTATTTAGAAGGCTCAACCTGCGACCTCTTGTTAGTAGAGGCGCGCCTTAACCACTCCAGTATGAGATCATTTCATGTTATTCAGGATTAGAAATTTCTTATATTTAGTAATTAACTGACTTTTCTTAATAAATTTCTATTATAACCCCAAGAGTTTAGAAAACTAAACTTAATTTTTAAAACTTTCTTAACTCCAGAAAGTTCCTTGAAATTTTTTAGATGTGTAGATTTCAACTGTATTTTATTTTTTTGCTTTTATAAAATTACAAAAATGCCTCTAAAATTAAAGAGTGTATATTTTGAGCAATACGTGACCATTTTGCTTTATAAAAATACCGTCAAGGTTTGAAATTTACTACTTTAACTATGTAATTATTTGGGGATAATTAGAATGAATCATTTAAATAATTAGGTGATTTTTTTATAAGATTAAAGCATAGCTCTTGAGTTTATTTTATAAAAGATGATTTTATGGAGTTATAAAATGAATAATTGACTATACGAGGTGTTACTCGAGTTGTAAATTTATTATGACACTTTTAACTCAAAATATGTAACTATTAACTTATTTATCATATAATAGATAACTTAATAATCACGTTTATGATGTCGTTTTAAGATCTATAGCTAGATTAGACACATTATGTTGGAACTCACGGTTCTTATAATTTTAATTGATATGAGGAGCGTTCGTAAGCATAGTTGACCAATGTTGACCCTAGTCGACATAGTTGACTTTTATGTTGGCCTTTGGGAGAAATTAATCATTAATGCACTATTCGTTATTATAAATTATAGGTTACCATTCAGCGACATTAGTTAAGCAACCTACGTTATCAGGTGAATCTTCATGAGATTTCATTGGGATGCATACCTAAGTACAAATTTATTTTTGAATGATATGAATCGTTGATGATGTGTACGTATGCATGATATTTCAATTACATACATGTTATGATATATTTTACATGTATGTTATTTTGTGAATGGTTACATGTTATGTGTTTAATCAGTTTTTGAATAACTCTAGCATGCTATTCYATATTAAAGTTTTATGATTCAAGGGTGGGCATTTGACCAGTAAGTCACGACCAATATAAAACACGACGCAGATAAATGGATGATCAATTAAGACTGATATATCAACTCAGGGCGTGTTTGTGACTAAATGATTCATACCCGACTAAACATTATATGAGATCTCTTATGTTCAGTGTTTCTTAAAATATATTTTTGTAAAAGTTGTGACTTTTATTATAAAGCATACATATATGCCATATATATATATATATATATATATGTGTGTGTCAAGATATGATTTTATTCACGGAAACCATGAACTCACTAAGCTTTATAAGTTGACTATAGTATGCATCTTAGTGCCAGGTAGTTTGAGGTTGGATAAGGGCAAATGACACGCTTAGAGAGTTACCTATTATCATCTTATTTTTAGTCTTTTGTCTAGACGGCTATGTGTCGATCTTTTGTAACTTAACTTGGTATGAGGCGGGTTAGAACTTAAGTAGATTTTTGGTTGATTCAAAGACTTCCGCTGTAAAACGGTTTTATTTTAGCTGTCTTTTTGGAGTATTTATTTAGGAATTCGTTTTAGATTACGTAACATTTCTTTAAAAAAAAAAATAGGGCGTTACACTTAGGGACCAAATTTTTGGCCCCCTCTTCTTTTCTTGTCGTTACTACCTATCTTCGGCGATCACCCTTGAGAACCATCCATTGAAACTCCTCCCTTCACGGCCACTCCACCGATCCCCTCCCCTTCTCTATCCCCCCCACCCCGACTCACACCGAAGTCATTCAAGCAATTACTATCTTCTCCGGTTATCTTCCCCGATTACCTAGATGCACAAGGAAGGAATCAAACTGGGGTATGTAACAACTCGCCTCACATGAATAGAAGGTGAAAATTGTTAGCTCCTTATAAGTCTTAAGCAATAGGCTACTAATAACTTGCACCATGGTTTTAAGTTGTATTCGAAGTTATCAGGCCAGTCCATTGCTTTGGGCTTTGGGGGTGATACAAAATGGTATCAAAGCCGATCTTTGTACCATCGGATGGTGGGGCAAACCTCATCGGGTATGATGATTCCTCGAGAGGGGGTGTGTAATATTCGGGTTTCAAGTTTTGATTTAAATTTTTTTTAACATATATATATATATATATGTGTGTGTGTGTGTGTGTGTGTGTTAGGATTATGTGAAGATTTTGGAGATGTGTATATTGGGGGAATAATTTTAAAAGAAAGGGGGAGTCGACTGGAGACACCGCCCACTTTGTTTCCTTATTACTATATATAGAAAACTTTTGTCAAAATGAAAAGGTTACACTCTTGTTATAATAGGAAATTCTCCTTTTGAATCATACAAATTGGCAAAGAAGAAGAAGAGAATTCAGAGTCAGGATTTCTTATTTAAGGTGAGTGTATATTGCTTTAAAGTATTGGTTATTACTTCTTTTACTGCTRGAATCTGCTATTTATGAACTGCATTTCATAAATATTTGGTTAAGTCCTTAAACCGGACAAAGATTGTCCGGAGTTATTCTTAAACCGGTCAAGAGGTGACCGGATTTCCCTT